AACAACAACAACAACAACAACAACAACAACAGCTACTGCAGCTGTAAAATCACTGCCCTCCTCCTCTGTCCAAGCAGCAGAATTTATTCTGTCTTCAGAAAATAACTGCGGTCACCCCCTCACAATGAAAATTACGGAGGGAGAAAAAGTCACAGATCCAAAACAACAAACATCAGCAGCTTCTGAAGCTAACCAGCGACTAAAGTCCAGCTAAGCAGGGTTGGTGGCATCAAACTCACTCTCATTGGTCAGCTAGCAACAACTTGAGCAACGTGCAGCATCTGTTTCCTGTTTCACTGCTGTGCCTCAAAAACAAAGGCTGACGTAGGATGGAGGAGGAAATGACCAACAGCTCAACAGGAAGTTGTGAATAAAGGAGAAAAAGTCGTCAGCCGTTTGTCTCCTGGTCTTTATTTTGAATATAAAAACAAGTCAATAAATATCAACATCCACTGGTATGAAAGGCTTCTATCATGATACATTTTTCATCCATATCGCCCAGCTCTAATACTGACCTCTCTATAGATACAGTATGTATGGCAAACCATTTGTGTATTTATTCAATATTATTGATTTGATTTGTGGTTTTTCTGCACCAGTTTGCTCAACTACCCTGACATGATCAAACACTCCTACTGGTAAGACTTGTTAAGTAGTTGGAGCAGAAATCAACCAGTCAGTCTGCTTTAGCAGCTAACCACTAGTTAAGCACTAGTTAACATGAAACCTAACTGTTGGAGGAAGTCCTGGATGAACTGACCCACAGCAGGTAAGGATGTCTGAGTTCAGAACCACAGAAGAAGTTCACCATTAGAAGGTCACATGTTAAAGAGCACAACTGGAGTGATCCTGAAAACTTCCCAAACCTGAGAAATGATTGAAACATTGTGTAGCATTCCTGACATGTTAACACAAGAAAACAATGCCAGATATCAGATACTGATGTCTAAAATCAAATATATTTTAGCAGCATCACAGGAASACAGGAGATGAGACTCAGAGTTGAAGTGAAGATTGTTTCTGATGTGGACACACAAACAGTGAGACTGACCCCAACAAAAACACATCTTCTGCACCAGCAGCTTGAGTTTGGAAGAACTTTGGCTTCAATGAACCAAAAGTGCAGGTTGTGTAAACAGCCTGTTCTAACTAACCTCTGCTAACATCAAGCAAGACATGTCAACATTTCCATCCAACTTCAAATTAATTTAAACTTTCATTAGAACAGATTCAGTCAGAAAACCAGCTCTGCTCTCTGGAGTCACCACAGAACATCAGAGATGTTCCCATAAAATACATCAAGACCAAACAGAAAGGTGCAAACAGCAGAACCTGGCTCTGATGCCTCCAACATGATAAATCCATCACTACAACCCTGTAAGTCACTGTACTTATTATTTATACTCTTTTTGTTCCTGTAGTTCCTGTAATCGTGTTTGAATGGAAACAGTTTTAACCTGAWGATGGAGCAAAGTGTTGTTTGTTTGAAGTCAGAGAATCTGTTCAGGATTTAGTTTGAAGTGTGATCATGGATCAGGGATTGTTCTGCAGCTGTGAGACAGAGTCTGAGTTAKGAGATGACTACAGATTCTCACCTCTGCTGTAAAAACAAAAGAAACCCRACTTACGGACACACATGTCTCCGCTCTCGAAGAAGCCGGGGCAGCACTGTGAGCGGCGCCGGTACATGGTCCTCACCCCCCTCCTGTAGGCCGTCTTATAGCTGATCCTGCACACCAGACACAAACTCAGGCTCAAATACAACAGACATGTCATCCACACAAAATCCTGTTTTTATAACGAATGGCACAAAAAAACTAATTCTGACCATCTTAACCCTTTTTAGTTTTAGCTGCTTTAGTTTTGTCATTTATTCGTCACATGTTTCTTATGGGGTAAAGTAAATCAGTGAGTTGCAGCCAGTTGGTCCTGGTTCTCCATGAAACTCTCTTATGGCTCTGGTTTTCAATCTGAAACTGCTGTCAGCAAGTCTGATGTGTCCAATGAATGAGTCCAATGAGTCTGATACATCACAACTCCAATATGTCTAATAAATCTGAAACGTCCAATGAGTCCCATACATTCAATTAATACATTACATCCAATTAATCCAATACATCTAATGAGTCTGATACCTTCAATGAGTCCAAAACGTCTAATTAGTGCAATACAGTATGTCTTATGAGTGTAATAAACCTGATGAGTCCAATGAGTCTGATACATCTGATGTGTTCAGTAAGTCTAATGGGTCAGATGAGTCCAATAAATCTGATACTTCAGATGTGTCCAGAGTCCAATGTAACAAATAAGTCTGATGAGTCCAGTAGGTTCATTGAGTCTGYGGTCCTCTGGTATCTAATCATGCTGGCAGGTAAAAACGTCTAGAATCTGAAGACATTTATACGACTTTGAAAAAACAAGTTTTTAAAGGTCAAAAACAAAAAAATAGAAATTWAGGTTTTTCTTGCATTTTTTTAAAAGCTTTTCAACTTTTCTAAAGCTTTAGTTTAAAGTTGAGAAGTAAAAAAACCTGAARAAGTCCTTGATGAAAATGACACCAGATCAGATCCCCATTGATTTAAATTGGTACAATTATTTTACAGCAGCAGGCGAGCTTCGGTAAGAACATGATAATCAGCCCACTTCTGGAACAYGAGCAGCACTTTAAGAAGATTTCTGCCACTTCTTCAAGGACACGGGTGTTTTCTGACATTTTGTTTTAAGATCACAACTGAGCACTTATCAGGAGGAGCTAAACCAAGGCTGTAAACTTTAATGTGTTCGTTAAAGACCTTCAGCTGATGTTGCTTCGGCTGGCAGAGCTGAACCTTCGGTGTCTGACCAGCTCTACACAAATTCTGCATCCTTCTCRGATTGATGCATCTCAGTGGGAACAGTTTAAATCTTAACTGAAAGTTTATTTCATCACAAACTTTTAGAGAAAAACCCAAAATGTCTAATTTGGCTGAATTATAGAGGAAAAAATATCATCTGTGTCTGTTTATAAGGGCAGGTAGGGCTGCCAAAAAGAGAATGAAGAAAGTAGTTCCTCCTAATACTGCAGATTGTCTAAGTACTTAATATCCTGTGTATAATCTGGTTATTGTTTTTAAAACAGTTTTGAGGCAGGACAGGTCAGACATCAGAACTACAAGCAGAGGCTCAGTGAGGCAGAACTATTTCAGCCCTGTGGACTCATTCTGCTGGTTTGAACTCATTGTTACAGCCACCACTAACACCAGACCTCGTGTGACCTTTTTTAGATTAAATAATGTCAAAAACAACCTCAACCCCTGAGAAGGAGAAAAAAAGACAACTCTTTGTGCAGAAGATGTTACAACCCCTGAAAATAAATAATCAACAGAAGAACAGGAGCAATCTGCTACCTTGTTGCCTTCACAAAAAGAGAAGTAAGTCAGAAAAATATAGATATATTTAACCCTCTGTTTCAGTAACAGGGGTCAGAAAATGTTACATATTTAAATAAAGACTGAAAACTCATGGGTTAAAACACAGTCTTTATARTTGGTTTATAAGCTGGTGTTTCCACCAGATTATATTTAGTGTTTGAGTTCTGAATACAGCACACATGTTGGGTATTTACGGGGTGCAAATGATGCACAAAAACACACAAGTTGTATTGTCTTGGTGAATTTAGGTCTGTGCGACTTTTGCTTCCAGACTGCAGGAATTCCAGTGGTTTGGTGTTTGTGTGTTGTGTGTTGTGTGTGGGTTTCTACCTGTGTCTCGTGCATTTGAACCAGTTGAGGATGTCGGTGCAGCGGGTGTAGTAGACCTGATCGAACGGGTGAGCGTAAGACTCCTGCACGGTGACAGCATAACTGCAGGAGAACAACAAGCAAGAGTTTCACTGAAAGTTCAAGTTCTCCTGAAAAATAAAAAAACTGGTTTTACAAAACTAAAACTGTAAAAACAGTCGTGTCTGACAAGAGGACAATAACTGTTAAAGTCAGAAACAACTCYTTCCTAACTCATCAGGATGTCAAGAGCTGATTCCTGATGGAGAGCAGGAGCTTCATGGAGAAAAGCATTGATGCTTATAAAACATACACTAAGATATGACCCTGACAACTTAAACACATTCATCTGACACCTAATATTTTAACACTGCTTAGGGTTAAAGTTACACTTAATACATTTACATTTAGTCAATGCTAAAATATAGGATGTGTCAGATTACWTCATTTTTTATACTTTTTTCAATGAAATGGTGCACGCACATGAAATCAACCACATTTCTGTGAGGAGGAGGCAGGACGCAGGGAACAGCCAGAACTTAACAACTTTTAACGACAAAAAGCTGAAGTTAAAAAAAAACACAGCTTCTCAGGGGAATAAACCCCACTGACCGAGGGAGAAACAACAAACTAACTAACACAGAGRACAGAAGACTGAATATAAAGACACACTAATGAGGGTTAAATGAGAAACACCTGGAGGAGACGCATGAAGAACAGGTGAGTGTGGGCGGGGCTAAAGTAAGACTGACAGATGACAGAGAACGGAAAAACACTGGGATCTACAGAGAAACAAGGAGAGTAAAGACAGACTGAAAATAGACAAATAAACACAGACATGATCATTTCTATTGAACATCCTCATCAACTGAGCACACCTCCTAATAACACTTCCTGCAGGATTACTCTGAAGATTTGAGTGTTTGAGGAGCCAGTCATCATCTGGGGCCTGAAAAACCTCCTGGTCTCTAAAAACATGCTCTTTATGAACAACACAGACCTCTAAAAGTACAAAACCATTGTTGATAAAGGTGTTTCTGCACCCCTTACATGCTTTAACATCAACTCCTGTCAATATGTATTCATCGGTTGTCATGTATGGAGATAAATTACTGTCAAAAAGATTTGAGCACATCAAAATTTCAGCGAGTGGGAAACAGAATTTGAACGTGCATGAGTGCACGGATCTGCTCGCCTGTGAATTTAACTTTGAAACTCTGTTACTTCTGCAGAATCACACGCTTTAATGCTGCGTTCAAGGCTGGTGAAAAGCTGGGACATCTGAGCTTCACCACATTTACTGGGTTACTGGGAAAAACATTTCTGATTTATAGTTCATGAACCCTAAAGTATATTTTAAATTCTTAATAAACACACCTACAGTAAATAAAAACTTACATCGATATTACAGGGTTTAGAAAATGTTACATTATGTGAAGCTAAAATAAACAACCTAAAATGAGCAGGTTGGAAATTTATCAGAACAAATAAATATATATTACCACAAAAACACATTTTCTGTACTTTTTCCACAAAAAGAATAAAGTACACATTTAGAGGTATTATTTCAGCTGTACAGTTAAAAAAAATTAACATTTTCTTCTTAAGATAAAACTACCAGAAAAATATATTTCTGAGATTTTACTTTAAATGAACAAAGAACACAGGAAATATTTTTCTGCTGATTTTTCCACAAAAAGGAAATGTGACTTTTGTGAACTGTAGAACTAAAAATAAAGTTTTTAAAGCTAAGCTAAAGACCCACCTGTACAC